TCGTCTCGCGGCTCGTCATCGTTCGGGCTCGAAGATTCGAAAATTTTGGAAACATCCAGTTACATTTTTTTTTTAATTATTTACGTGACTGATTAGTAAAATTACTGCCTTTGACTAATTAGATTAATTTAACTTAAAAAGCGACAAACAAACTGCAAAAAAATTGAAGAAGAAAAAATAAACGTAATGTAAACGTTATCGAACGCGCAGTCATTCAACTTACATATTTTACACTTAAACATGAAAAGTAAATATTTCTACACGGCAAATGCAAAAAAATACCATTCACATAGAGGTAAGATTGGAGCACTGCTGGAACCTTGGCACAGATTCCCATGAACTTTTTAGCATCATCGATGTTGACGCAAAACCCGAAAAAAATAGTTCACGTGTCCATCTAATTCTCAAATGCGACGCACACCGCAAAACGCATTTGCCATTCTTCGTGAATTTACTTTACCTATTCTGACTTCATCTCGCGTTTTGCATTTCGTACAAATGTAAACCACAACCAATTCATCTTTCTCTATAGAAAACCATAGTACTACATTTTAAAATATATATTTTTAATTACTTAAAATTAACAATAAAGTATACAATTACATTTTAGATTATTTAAGAAAGGAAGAAAACATATCAAATATAATATTTAAAAAAAAAATTAGTTGGAACATCTTCGAAAATTTCTATTCTTTAAATATGATTTAAATGAATATAAAATAAATTACAAGTCAAATTTTTGTCTATATATTTAAATATATATATATATATATTATAGCAAAATATTAAGTTGACAAAATAAAAAAGTATACTTTAATTTACAAATCCCATTTTCTTAAAAACTTTGATCGCCAATTTAATAACTTTACGGCGCATCCTGAATCCTGCTCCTTCTGGAATGGAAAATATGAAATTAAAAAATAATAGTCAAGTATTTTCTGGAAAAAAATATATTAATTGATAATTACCTTCAGTTTCAGTAATTCTAGGCAAATTGTTGTTATTTTCGTCAATTGGGACACCATCTGAAAATATCCAATTATTTATTTGTAGTTTTGTTCTGTACTTAAGTATAAGACATTATAGTGTAATAGTTTTTATAATACATGATACAATATTAAACTACAATGAGATACTACGATCTTAAGGATATAAAACTATAGCACTACAATTTTGTTAGTACACGATATAAAACTATAGTTTTGATAATCCATGATCTAATACTAATATTTTAAGAATTACTCCTGAACTTAATGATATAAAACTAAAGAACTACAGTTTTGATAATACACGATCCAATACTAATATTTAAAGATGTACTTCTGAACTTATAAGTATTAAAATTTTGATACAACTTACCTCTAGTATTTGGTGCAAGATGGAGATCCTCATAAGTCAAATATCGACGTTGATTAAACTCATAGTAGTTAACATCAATTAAATCACAAGGGAAGTAGACGTAGACGTAGTTAGTATTACGGTGGAAGTTCATGTTGGTTTTTGTTGAAAGTTTAAATTGAAGTGATTTTTTCAGTGTCCAGTAGGCCTTTATATTAGTAAATTGTTTATAATTTGAAATATAATACATCGATATTCACATTACAAGTTGATAATATTACAATTCATTATCAGTATTACTAGTATTACTATGTTTAATTATGAATGGATTCATTAACCGTTTAACTTTTAGTGTGTATTCTATGTACCTAGAATTTTCAATGTTTTATTACATACAAGTAATATAGTTTTTTTTATTTTATTTTTGCAATAATCAATTGTTAATTAAATTTATAATAAATTTAGTGATATTGTATTTATTACAAGTTTTTTAATTACTTTAATTAAACTTTAGTTCAAAATTCATAAATAATTACAGTAATTTCTCATCTAATAACAACGACTTACGAACATTTAGAAAAAACAATTAAGATTTTGTGATATAGGCTATTCATTTGAATGATCTCGAGAAGAGATTGTATTTGATTTTAATTTAGATATAGATTATTTAATGGAATATATTTTTTTTAATTTCCAAAAATTGTTAAAATTATACTAAAGTTTGATGTCAACTTAAGAAATATTAAACAAATATTTTCTGGATAATATTTTTCACTTCAATTTAAAAACTTGTAATGCCTTCAAGATTACGTGAACGAAGTTTAAGAACTTTCCACGCTTCTTTGGAGTGTACGGAACTAATATAGGAAAACCATCTAAAATTAAGTTACATAATCTTTCTGTTATCAGAAATGGAAGTATATACCTTCGCGGTATTCGAAGCGCATATCATTAAACTTCTGCAGATTATTGCTTTTAGGAAGAAGTTCAGTTTTTGCATAGATATCTTGAAAAATTCTTGCTTTCTTATCAGATATTTCTTCGTTTTTACCTAAAATATCTTTCTTCTTCACATTTAATCCTCCAGATAAATATATATCAGGTTGATAGTTGTAGAAAGCGTTAACACAGTAATTTTGTAAAGACATGTTGCACTTGTTAAATATTGGTATTGAACTGATTGTTTCCAATTACTTGGTCATTATATAGCAGCTTCGATTGAAACATTACGCTTCGATGAAAATTGTCGTTTTAATGGAATTTTTGATATTTCCGTAAAAATAATAAACATTGACATATTGATCGCTTTATACGCGGTATAAACAGTTTAACAAATGCATTAACTTACTTTTATTGAAATTTTACGCTTCTTTCCAGAAAACTCAAGTTTATTTGAAATCAGTTTCAATTCAATTGATATTTAAATAAAAATGGTAAACTTTGAAATATTAATCAATTTATTATTGATATAAGTTATTTCTATTGTATTAACCATTTCCTATTCATTACACAGGAGACTTCGCTTTCGCAAAATTTTATATTACAGTAATACACATAATAATACACAGCAGTTATGCAAAAAACAGTTAAAAAAATCTCCTTCCGCAAAAGTAGCTTTTACGTGTTAAGTTTACATTGAAAGATATTTAATTTCTATTTGAACAAAGGATGGTCATAAAGATCATAGCAAACTGATTCAGAATTGGTAACAAATTCGAATTTCTTTCCTGCATAAGGTAAATTTAGAAGGTATAAACAAGTAATAAGATGGACATGAAACAAAACGAAATAGTAGTAATCATTAGAGTTGGTACACTTCTCAATTCAGAAGTTTCTACGTTGTGTTTTTGCAAAGAAGAGTCCAAATCTACAATTTCTTCATACCCAACCACAGTTAATCTTCATTTTTTAGAGAGATTTCTAGTACTTTAATATTTTTTATAAATACTGAGGTAAACATATTTACTTCAATGTTCGTATTTTCGATTCGGTCATATGTAAAAGTTTATATGATTCCTTGACGTAACAACGTTAACTTAGAGTTGAATAAGCCAATAGAAGATAAAATAATCAATGAATACACTGAGACAGTTTCAATATATATTATAATTCGAAATAAACACATATAAAAAATGAAGTAAGTTAGGCAACCAAAGTTACTCACTACTCATTTTATTTGAAAAAATACAAATTGTGCGAAATTTTTTATATGTAAAACTTTATATTTGAATTTTACACTTGTATTATTTTTTTTAACTTTCAATTAATACTTATAAATTAAATTTTATTTATTTAAAAAAAAATTGCAATAATATAAATGTTATTATTATATAATTATGTTTGATCTAAATAAATGAAACTATAATTAAAAAATTGTTTATTAAATTTTAACAAATTTTACAATTAAATTATTGGTATTTTTTGAGACATGTTAATTATCAAAATTGATTGAAATAGGAAAATAGTCATGAAAACTAAATAAAACCAATTTTCTTCAAAACTTTCATCATCATGGATCCAAATTTCCCACGCTTTTTGGGTGGAAGAGATTCCCACAAAACAATTTCATCTGCAAAAAAATAAAATATAATGAAATAGAAAGTTAAAGTTTGTAAATGTATAGTTTTACCTTCAGATTGAATACTATCAGTATCTTCTTGTTGGTCATTGAAATGTTGAGGTAATATCTCCATAGATTCATCAAACACCGTTTTGGATGTAGTTTTCAGAAGATACTTCATTTCCTCTGATTCCATCGGATTCTCTGCGATATGCATTTTTGGCTGGTAGTTATACAAGTAGTTGATCAAAGGATGACGGTAATACATGATGTGTTCCTCACTGAATTCACTAGGTATACTGAATAAAGTATAAATTTTGTAACTTGTATTTAAGTGAGAAATATTGTTTGGATTAGTTATCTTACATACTTAAGGTTACCTTATTCGTAAAGTGTCGAGTAAGTTCATGAAAACTGAGTTTAATGGAATATTTGGAACACAATACTGTTGATAGATGTTATACACAAGAAATGGTTATATTCTGTTTATGAGTATCGTATACACCCAAGAACGTATGTCATTCAGTGATTCATTAAATTATCAAGTCCATGTGTCGTTAGTTTATTGTTAGTATTTCATTCAGTGATTAATTTTAGTATGAAAATGTATTACTTTCCGGTGATTAGTTAGTTTATTGTAGATATTTACAAAAGTTTATACTTCCTTCCAATAAAAATTATATGTTATTGAATATGTAATACCTGCTCTTGGTATAAAAATACAAAATGTATATGTCGGGGTCTATATCGCAAGCCCGACAACCAAAAGATCGTCTATTGAAATCCCGACGTTCGAAATTCTGACTATATCAAAATCTCAACAACTATAATCCCGACTGTATCAGAATTTCGACAACCATAATCCCGATTATATCAAAATCCCGACTATATCGAAAATTTTTACAATA